TTAGGAGCTACCAACTGCTACCGGTCCAACCACCGTTCGGGGTTGCCAGTATTATCGGATAAAACGAGAAAAGCCACCTTGATCACCGGCATCACTCGTTTGCAGTCAGAGTGTGCGGCGTATGGAATCCTCTTCCATCAAATGTAGTGTGCGCTCCTACAGTTGAACTATTTAAGTCGCAACTTGATAAAGTATTGGAACACTTGAAATTTCACCATCCATGAGTGATCATGCAAATTGTTATTATTATTTTCTGTTTGTGAAGTTATTCAAAATATTCTGTAAAAATCCTATGGGTCATGATAAACTTTAGCTTTGTTAAAAGCCCATAATAAAACTTTGACTTTGATATGGAGAATTGAGGGCTACCCTCTCCATTAGTACTAGTACACATGAACGGATTTTTGCACACTTAAGAGACGGGCCAGTTTTTTGCCGTCCCCTCCAGGCTTTCGTGAGTCTAAACAAAATAAACAGGAACACTAGACCTAGCTCTTCACTCCGATTTACGTTTGATCAGATTTGCCCCTATTCAGAATCCAACGGTGAGGGGTGAATCTGAACACCTATCGTTGCGTGAAGCTAGACTTCCGACTCCCGAATGCCCGCGAGTGCGTGCGTGCGGAGATCTGAAAAACAATAAGGCTCGTGCACAGAACGAACAAACGAACCAAGGCGAGAACCATTACGCGCGATTGTTCGTTTGAACGCGTGGATAGAGATGTGTGATTTTCCACTGTTCGGGAGCGCAAAGGTAAGCAGGACAGACAAACGTGCACTCACACTGGAGTACAGAATGGACCCATGCTTCACCGCTGTCTCAATTCACAGCGGTATTAAGTTACCGCAAAACTTGGTGAGCACGGGGAGTGGTGATCCGCTCAAACCAGTTTGTTCGTTTCCTTGTTTCCATACCGCGGAAAATGAACCGCGTTGCACATTCACTGTGGGCTAGCGTGATCTAGAAGTGACATTTGATAGCCAATCGCTCACCTGCCCAGTCTTTTTGCGTTACAGTAATGTGTGATCAACCGTGAATAGTGCGACTGTGTTTTGGCTCGGTTCACTTACCTCCCACCAAGTTCGGCTAGAATCAGAGTTGTGATTAACATGTGAACTATTAAGACGAAGGACCCTCAAACAGCAAACCCGATCAATGCTAATTAGATAGTCAAAGTGATCATATATATATATATATATATATATATATATATATATATAT